TTATATAGTATGAAGAAAAGATATCTTACAACATAACGAACATTAATTGTCCTAGCATCACTTACTGAATAGTTAATGGTTATCCCATTGAATCATGCTACCTCTGTTATGGATCAAGTTCTCATCTATATGGGTTTCTGTTTCCAGAATCTCTTATATTCCACTTGTCTGTTTGCCTATCTGTGCCAGTGCCACATTGTTTCAAGTTCTATAGCTTTAACATTTAAAGAGGCAAATTCCTGGGACACCTGGGTGACTCAGCAGTTGAGTGTCTGTCTTTGGCTCAGGGGGTGACCCTGGAGTCCCGAGATCGAGTCCCACATCGGGCTCCCTGTATGGAGCCTGCTTCTCCCTCTGCCTATGTCTCTGCCTCTCTCTCTGTGTCTCTCATGAATAAGTAAATAAAATCTTAAATACTAATACTAATACTACTACTACTACTAATAATAATAAAGAGGCAAATTCCCCTCGTCCTTATTAATTTTTTTTCAAAATTATCTTGGCTATTTACCACTGTATCTCATTTAATTTTAGGAATATCTTGAGAAGCTCTGGGGAGATTTTTCAGGTCTGTGTTAGAAATACTTAGAATTTATCAATTTGAAAAACATTATTGTCCTGGGCACCTGGGTGGCTCAGTAGTAGAGCGTCTGTCTTTGGCTCAGGTCATGATCCCAGGGTCCTGGGATCGAGTCCCACATCGGGCTTCCTGTGGGGAGCCTGCTTCTCCCTCTTCCTGTGTCTCTGCCTCTCTCTGTGTCTCTCATGAATAAATAAATAAATAATCTTTTAAAAAAAAGAAAAAATTACTGTCCTTAGTGATACTGTTTTTAGCCATGAATATGGTCCAACTTTGCATTTATTTACATCTTTAAAAACTATTTTCATTAACTTTTTGCAATTTTCTCCATAGAGCTGTTTCACATATATTGCTAGATTTATTCCTAGTTACTTTATAGATTTACTGCTATTACAAATATATATTTTAAAGTCATATCTTCAAAATGGATGGTACTACTAAATACAGATGCCAGTGACCAAAGAGTATGTCTCCCAGTCCCTACTGACTCAAGGCTCCCTTATCAAGCTTGCAGCTCCTACCAATGTCATTCAACCAATTGTACTCAATAAAGGTGTCCAACCATCCACAGGAGTATCATTTGGATACTCCACTGTTCTCTCAGGTATGTAATATGTCTGAAATGATTTAAAACCCTTCTCTGTATATGCATTCTTTTAATGACAACACCATCCACACAAACTTAGTAACTTGAAACCTATATTCTCTCAATTCCCATACCTAATTTACCATCAGTCTTGTCAATTCTATAGTCTAAGTATCTGCCCACCTGTCTTCTCTTCTCCATTCTCAACACCAATGACTGAGCTGAGCCCTCAGTATTTCCATCTCGACCATAGTAACAGTTTCCTAACTGATCTCCCTACCTTTTATCTCAGTTCTTCCTTACCATTCTTTTCATTGCTGTCAAATTTATTTTCCTAATATGCAAGTCTGATCATGCCTCACCCAGCTTAAAACCTGTCACTATTTCCCCATTGCCTGCTATATGAAGTCTTAGTTCTCCGGCTGTTCATCAAGGCCCTTTATTTACCCTGGCTCTCTAACATATTTTCCCTCCACTCTCCACCTTGCCCTAGCAAAACTGAGGTGCTTCTAGTTCAGCTATGCTATTCCCTGGTGCTATGATTTTGCAGAGTCTCTCTGTTTGGATTGCTCTGTCACACGTCACATGTCACATGTCACAGCTCACATGTCACTTCCTCCAGAAACTATGGATAAAGAGCTCAACAATATTATTGAGCACTACCTATATGCCAGGTGCTATGCTAGATGCCAGACATATAAAATGAATAAGATGTGCTCCAGATGCTGCAGCACAGGTAGCTACTTCCATTTTTTGCCTCCCTGTAGGTTTAACTGCTTGGAGCAGTTTTTTTACTTACATGTTTATTTTCTTTCTTCGACTTTTGATAAATACACAGACATACAAATATCACACTATTCTCAAGAAGAGATGCACATGCATATACAGACACAGTATTCAGAGACACTTATGTACAGGTTTAACTAGAAGTATGATTATAAAGTGATGAAATCATAAGCTCTGTACTTTGTGGTTAGACTCTGGATGAATGAACACAAAGAAACACAGTATGGCCAGGGTAGTAATTAAGGGTGTGTTCTCTGAAGGCAGATTGCCTGAGTTTGCATCTCAGGTTTGCTGCTTACAAGCTGGGTAAGCCTGGGTAAGTAACTGGACCTTTGTGCCTCAAGTTCCTCAGCTGTAAAATGGGGACAGTAGTAATCTCTGCCTCAGAGTGTTGGTGAGAGATTACTGAAGTTAATACAAAAGTGCTGAGAATGGTGCTCAGCACAACATAAGTGTTCAATAAATGGTACCTATTGTTGCTTTGTACATGAAGACACTTTTGTCCCAGGCACTATCAGCAGGTCAAGTGATTTTTTTTTTACTTCTTTGTTTAGCATAAAAGAACTGTTTGTTGTTCTGAGCCAAGTATATACTCTTATCACGTCTCTATTGAACCAATGGCACATGTTGACAGAAGAACTGGTCCAGGAAAGCTGACGGTAGTGGAATGTAGTTTTACTTTATGTAGAGCTAAATGATATACGTGGAAACAAACTGCATTAGCTGGAAGAGTCAACGAGCTATGAATTCAGATTAGGACTTAGCGAGGTGAGAGCGTGTGGTGTAATAGCTGACCCCAGAGAGTGTGGAGCCAGCTGGCTCTACCACCTACTAGTCTTGTGACCTTGGGCAAGTTACTTCTTTGTATCTCAGCTGCCACATCTGTAAAATGGAATTGATAATAACAGAAAAGCAGTCTCTATTCTATATAGTTATTGTACAAATACAGTGAGAACATGCATATAAGGCACTTAGAACGTTGCGTGGTATAGAATATAAGTGGTAAAGAAAACAGATCCATGTAGTAAGCAGAGAAATATGTAATCATTGTGTTCACTCCAAGAAAAGCAATGGAGGTAGATGTTGAACTAAATGAGTAATCCTAAGAAAAAAATTCCATTGGACTTGGGATAACCTTTGTAAAAGTCATCTTTTGTTCCTATAGAAGCCTCCAAGGTATGCCCTCAGTTATGTTGGGTTTAGACCTCCAGGACTTCCCAAAATCTGTTCCATGAAACATTTGCCCTAAGATATGTGTGAGAAAAGGGGCTTTGGGGTTGAATAATGCTGAAAAATGCTATATGACTTATTTCCTTAGGGATTTCAAATGTATAGTACACTCTAAGGGCTTGAGAAATGCTACAAAAATGTTTCATTTAGTTTAATCCAGCATTTCTTTAATTTGATCACAGATTCTTTTTTCTATATACTGTTTATTAACATGCCATGGAATAAACATGGGAAAATGCTGGCTTCAATGAGTATTAAAAATGACCTTTGTATCAAAACAAGGGCTGAGGGGTGTGGGAGGTAGGTTTGGGAAAGAGAGGGCTCATACTTTTTTGGACTGGGACTGAAAATTGTCTAGAGCAATTTACAAATCCAGGAGTCACACAAATCCCTCAGGGTCACAAACACTCAAATACATAGAATGTTCCCAGGAGCACAGTCTCTGGAGGGGGTTGGGGGTTTCTTCACATTAGATCTTGCTTCTGCTGCTGCGCTGAGATCCCACTGTGGAAGGTCTAAAGGCCCCTGAACATACTGTACCACCTGCCTTTGGCCATGTACTGGCTCAATTTGCTTCCTACATTCTTGAAGAGAAGAGGCCACAGGAAAAACATTTAAAGTAGAGTGGCCCAATTGGGGAACCAGAGGCCACACTCGGGGGAAGAAGGGGAAGTTGGGAGAAGAGACTGGGTTGACCTCCAATCAGTTTCAGGACAAGAATGTTCCTCTGGGAGGAAGGGAGGTGGAGGACATCAGTAGCTCTAACGAAGAGAACCCTTCACAGCAGAGCAGGACAGGAGATATACTTAAGAGGAATAATATTGACTTCCAAGGTCAGTGATGAGAACGGGAGCTTCCTCAGGAACTGAAATGATGTTTAATACATCTTTTTAATTATTTTCTTGAGGAAAAAGATGGTGGCTAGGAGAGAGAGCACAATGAACAATCCCTAATCGGGGAGAGGTGTATAAAATAGCTGGCTATTTACACTGACCAGTGTAGAGGTGATCTTCCAACTTAATGTTGTTGGTTGGTTGGTTCCTGAAGGCAGGTGTGTCTTCTTCCTGGGTTTTACTCCTCCCTGTGGGATCCTGCCAAGAAAGGACAGATTGGATTATATCCTAGTTGGCCTGGTGCAAAGAGAGCCAGAATCTTTGACCCTGGGAGGGCTGACTCAGTGAGGGGCTGCTAAGCCGCACTTCCCGCAGGATGGAAACTAAGAAAAAGAAATGTATCAACAGGTGGTGGTGGGAGCCTAACTGCAGGTGGTGGGAGCAGGATTTGTTCTTATCACTTTATATTTCTCTAACTTTTCTGTAATAAGCATGTATGACTTTCATATTTGCGGAAAATTAAGTCTCTTTCTCTAGTTTATACTGCACATCTTTAGTTTCTAGAAATCCTGAGCAGACCTGATGTGCAAACTTCATATTGGTGTGTTTTCAGTGGGGGGGGGGGGGGGAGTTTTCCAGGCATGTTTGAGGGAATGGAAATAGAGCATAAGACTTATACCCCAGAAAGTTGTATCCCCGTAATTCTACAAAGACGGGGAGGCGTTTGCTAGGGGTAAGACTCCCCAAGAACTTCTGGGGGAAGAAATGGTTTGGCAAGAGGCGGGAGGGGTGCGGCCTGCGACGGGCTTCCAGGGAGGCGAGGGCCCCGGGCAGGCGGCGGACGGGGAGGCAGCAGGTGGGCCAGGTGGGCCAGGTGGGCCAGGTGGGCCAGGTGGGCGGCCCCGGGCCCCAGTGGGGGCGGGGCGGGGCGGGGAGGCGGGGCCGCGGGGAGCGCGGGGTGGGGCTGAGCCGGGCGCACCTGCGGGCCCGCGGCGCACCTGCCCCCGCCCTGCGCGGCTTCCCCGGGACGTGGTGTGTCCGGGGGCTGCAGCGCTGGAGCGAGCCCCGGGGCCCGGAGCCGACGGGCCGGGAGCCGCAGGCATGGGCCCGGAGCTGCCTGCACCTTGGCTGCTGCTCATCGCCGGGCTCCCAGCAGGTGAGCCTGGGGACGGCGCGTCTCAGCCTGGGCCCAGGGGCACGGACGCCGCGGTCGGCCCGGACCTGCGAGGCCGCAGACGGGCCGCCGAGGCCTGGGCCGCGCCCCGGGCGCTCTTGGCACAGCCGGGGGCGGAGGGGGGACCGGGGGGAAGCTCGAGCTGCTGCCCGCGGGAACCTGTTGTTCTCCTCTCCCGTCAGCCCGGGCCCTTCGGACAGCAGGTGCAGCAGGTGCAGCAGGTGCAGCGAGGGCAGGAACTCGAGCCTCGGGGCTCCCCCCCACCCCCCCGCCGTCTTGAGGCGCTTCTCGGTCTCCGACACTGACCGGCTGCAGGTGGAGGCACTACCTGGCCTCCCAGTTACCTGGCTCTTGCATCGGAGGCTTGCTTTTAGGTTTTAAATACGGTGCCAGCAACGCGTTTGTTGGCTCCTGGGCGGTTATGACGCGTCCTGGGCACAACAGCCTGTGCAGAATGATTCCGCACCTGGTTTCCAGGACCAAACCGTGTAGCTCTTTGCTCATCCTGTTCGGTGTCGCTCTTCGCCTTGCTTTGTATCCGCTCACGCCCCTGACTTTATCCCTCGCTCGGTTATCCCCTACCAGGTGCCCGGCCACCCACCTGCGCCTCCCTTCTCTTAGCCTTCCCACCTGCCTGCGTTGGAAAGCATGGTTTTTGTGTCTCATTGTATCTCTTGGAAATATGACGGGCATGTGCATCTGCATGAGTAAAATCGGGAAAGGATAGCTGAGTGACTGAATTTGCAGGACTGGCAGCCCTTTTCCATTAGGATGTAAGTGTGACCTTGCCAACAGGACAGGTATGAGCTCCCCTGGAAGTTCCACCCTGTTTCATTTCATTTTACCATTCCCCATCCCTTCTCTTGGGAGTAACTGCCCTCTGATCTCTAAGTTGTTAGTGGGAAGTCTGCTCAGTTGGCTGACAAAGCAACGCGAGTCTTGTATTTTTTCTGAGGGAAAAGATGTAATAGGAAGATATGGGCGGAATTTCACTTTTACCAGCTTGATAGGACATGAAAATCACTCAGACGTAACTAAATCTCATTCTGACAAAGATGCTACAAGAGCTTAAGCTTAACGCTGAGAATAAAAAGGAGGGAGAATTGCAAAAGGGTGAGAAAACTGGAAAATCATATTCCTAAGGTCCTCTGGCTCGCACCATTTCTGCGGGATACGTGTCCTGTCGGTTGTCTGGAGCTGACAAGGGTAGATGGTGGACACGTGGCACATAAGGAAATGGACTAAAGCTCATCTAAATTGAAGTGCCCGAAATTTCACCAGAGCAGTTACCAGCTTAGGTGGTAACAGCAAAATCAGAAAAATCCCAGCTTCTCAGAGTCTTCTCTCCTTTACCTTTTGTGTTTAGCTCAAATTCCACAGTAGCTAATGCTTGCTGGAGCTGCTGGAGCTGCTGGAGCTGCCTTTTCAAGAAAATAGAGGTCTATAACCACCTCCGCCCCTTAGCACCGCATCCCCAGATTAGGACTTTGTAGCCAGCAGTCATCCAGGTCAATAGACTAAGAATGGAAGCCTTATAAACAAAAATCTTATGAGAGTATAAAGGCCAATCCTTAAATCATCAGCATAGTGTTTTCAAGGCTTTTCAATTTGTATGACGAATATTGTACAATGAACATTTTTTCCAAATACAGTGATGATGACCAAAGGGTATATTCTATAGTAAGCAGATTGCTAAACGGACAAGGGGCTTTGGAAAGTGGAGTCCCAACTGTTCAGGAACCAGCCATGCAGTGTTAGTACCAGGATGCTGAAGCGGTAAAATGATACAGGCTGGCGTGTTTCCTGGCCTTCTCTAACTGGAAACCTACCCGCATGACCCATTTTAGAACCAGAGAATGCTGAATTCAAGAAAAGTGCAAAGTGAACATCTAGTCTCACTTTTATTACATAGGTGTGAAATTGAGATTTCAACTGTTCAGACTCCCAACGCTTTGAGAGGAAGTAATTATTTTAGATATTTTCCCCAGAATATGTATAGGGAACATTTAAAAAAAAAAGCTGCATTCAGCTATTGAATGTGCATCTGGGTTTTGCGTCCACATTTGTGTGACTTTGGTCAAGTTACTGAACTGCTGAAAGCTTGCAGGAAATAGGAATAATTAAAGTACATATCTCAGAAGGTTTTTGTGAGGATTAAGTGAAATGAAGATTTCAAGGCACTTAAGATAGTGGCTGAAACAAACTGAGGGCTTAATGAATGGTAGCCGTGGTGATAATGGTAGTCATGATTTAGACTCAAGTAGGAATTTTTTAGAGCTAACTTTCAAGAAACAAATTTCCCTTCCTCCTTCCCCTAAGAAACTGCAATTAATAGTCAGATGGACTATCAGGTTGGAATTCCAAGTCTGCCTCTTACTGTGACTTTGGAGGAATTACTTCAGTTTTCTTCATCTGGAAGACAGGTGAAAAATTCCTGATGAGCCCTTCACACCCTCCCACTCCCAGAAGGCCAGCTCACATTGGGTGGGTTAAGATTAAGCACTGTGTCTACAAAATGGTCATCACTCAGGAAATATTGGGTTCCTCCTACTGCCCCCACCTCTTTATTTTTAGACCAAACTTCTTAAAATTCTCTAAGGCTAAGCTGAAACTCAAGTTGCTTCTCTCACTTCCAGTATCTACCAAAGCAGCGTTTCTCAAACTTTTTTTTTTTACAGCTTTTGCAAAGGAATACAGTTTATGTTGTGATGTGTACACATATAAAAGATTTATAAGACAGAAACAAAAATACACAGAGACACACACAACGCCATTACTATGTCAGATAAAAGAATAACAAATTGACATTGTATATTATTTTGATAACATTTAAATTAGTAGAAAATACTCTCCAAATTAATATTAAATAGAAAAATCCTGTGAGTTGATTTTCTCAAGATCTGCTGCAAATTGCATTATGAACTCTGGAAAACCCTAGAGTATGTTCAGTTCATTACCCTGTTCTCTTCTGTTTCTAAAAAAGAGCTAATCCAGGCTTCTGGTTCACATCCAAGTTCCTGCAGTTGTAAAGTGTGGGCCATTCGTGAAATTCCTTCAGATTTGGGTACTGGCTAGCTAGTCAGTGTAGCCTGAGGCCCCGATGAAGCCTCTCAGGGCAGGGAGTCCTGGAAAGTTACCACAATCCCTGTGCTCTGAGCTGTGGGAAGATCAGTTGTCAGAGTTTTTGTTTCCTTGTTTATGTACTTCTTCAAAGTTTAAAAAGAAATTTTTAGCACACAAGTGATACGTGCTCCTTAAAACAAAACATTAAGATAATCTAAAGTAAGTACCTGCATGCAGCCATTTGCATTATTGGTTAATAGTTCTGATTACCACCATCCAGCCTTAAAATTTTTTCCCTGGAATGAAATTTTAGTTTTCTACCCACATTCTAAAAGGATGCATCTCATCTGGACGTCTGTGAATTTTTTTAAGATTATAGACTGGTATTAACTTACAGATTCACACAGCTGTCAGCTTGCATTATCATTCTTTGGGAAATCAGCCAGCTGATTCCTAAGGGGCATGGTTCTTAGCATATAGACCAGTAATTTTCGCTTGGTGGTGGGGGTAAAGGGTGGGATCACATTGAAGACTGAATGCATCTCGATCCCTAATGTGGATAGGAAAGTGGAGCTTCTCAGGCTGAGGGGGACAGATGGGAGCTGCCCACTTGGCTCTTTCTTTACCTCCTTGGGGCCCATGAAGTAGCTCCCCAGGATCCCAGGGCTCTGCTGAACTCAAGTAGAAATCACTTCCAATTCCTGTCTGTCTTCCCCTCTGGATCAGTTTTGCAGATAAGGAAATGTGCGTCCAGGAAAGTCACAAGCAGGGGATCCCTGGGTGGCTTAGCGGTTTAGCGCCTGCCTTTGGCCCAGGGTGTGATCCTGGAGACCCGGGATCGAGTCCCAAGTTGGGCTTCCTGCATGGAGCCTGCTTCTCCCTCTGCCTGTGTCTCTGCCTCTCTCTCTCTCTCTCTCTCTCTCTCTCTCTCTGTCTCTCATGAATAAATAAAAAATATTTTTAAAAAAGTCACAAGCCTCAGGTTGACACAGTGGAGCTAGTTTGAGAGCTGAGATCAGAACCCAGGCATCCTTGCTTTTGGTCCATTGCTCTTTGCCCTGTTTCATACCACGGAACAAGTTTGTTTTGTCTCATTGAATCCTGGTATGCCGAAATAGATATAGAGTGCCTCCTGGATGTCTAACTAAATGCTGTTTATTAAACATCTTGCCCCAACAACAATTTAACATCTTGCCCCAACCACAATGGAATAAGGTGCTGGGTGATGACTGTACTGTCTACCTGGGTTTCTTTCAGCCCAGTGCTGTATTACATCATCTCGTCCTTGGGGGAGAAATAAAATGGTGTGTTTTAAGAATTGAGAAGACTGGGCAGCCCCAGTGGTGCAGGGGTTTAGTGCCGCATGCAGCCTGGGGTGTGATCCTGGAGTCCCACGTCGGGCTCCCTGCATGGAGCCTGCTTCTCCCTCTGCCTGTGCCTCTCTCTCTCTCTCTCTCTCTCTCTCTGTGTGTGTGTGTATGTGTGTGTGTGTGTGTATGTGTCTCTATGAATAAATAAATAAATAAAATCTTTAAAAAAATTGAGAAGACTGAGATCATGTGTCATCTTTCTCTCATCTTTATTTCTCTATTTTTCTATCTGTAAATCTTAGGCTGAGATGGGTCAGAGGAAAGCAGTTTTGATACCTTCTTCATTTCCCAAACCCTGTTAATTACCAAGTTCTGTTTCTTTTTTTTTTTAAGATTTTATTTATTTACTTATAAGACACAGAGAGAGAGAGAGAGAGAGAGAGAGAGGCACAGGCAGAGGGAGAAGCAGGCTCCATGCAGGGAGCCCGATGTGGGACTCAATCTCGGGTCTCCAGGATTACACCCTGAACTGGAGGCGGCGCTAAACCGCTGAGCCACCTGGGCTGCCCCCAAGTTCTGTTTCTTAATCCCAGGATCTGCCCCTTCTTT